GAGAATATCCGAGTTCCAGGAAGCAGTTTGGAAGAAGAAGAAACGATCACTGTTCCAGTGATCGTTTCTTCTTCTTCCAAAGTTCAACATTGTTCGGCAAGTAAAAAAGCGTTTGAAACTCAAAGATGCCCGTGTTTCCAGTATATTATTTAAAAAGGCGGAATTTGCTACCGAATGAGTACAAGAAAGAATAATTTTTTGCACGTATTCTATAAAATATATTTAAATCTATAATAACATGCGGTCAGAAAGAAGCTCATTCAATAGCCGGCATTCAGGGGTGACCGAAATATCTTGGAAATCGGCTGTAGGATAATTTTTCTTACAAACCTACTAAGGCAATCTTTTCAAAACTAAAATGAATTTCAGAATTTAGGTTAACTTTTGGTGTGATATTACAGTAGATTGTTTATCTGATGAAATCTGAAGGGCAAAATTTGAGTGGGGCGTTAATGCCCATTTGAGGTGTTTATTTTGTTCATTGGGTTGACTTGAGGCGCAAAAGGCTGTTTACTAGAAATTAGTTCCTTTCGGATCAGTATACTGGGGGAAAATAGGGGCGGAATTGGGCCAAATCCAATGTTTGCTGATATCTAAGGAATTTCCTACGCTAGTAAACGCTGCGGAAAAAGGGCTTCTTGTTTGTGCGTGTTGTACTATAAAAGAACATTAATAAGGACCAGAAATTGTTTTGTGTCATGTGCTCTCTGCGTTCCAGAGCTGTTCTGACTCCGCAGTATACGATAATTTATATTGCGCGCAATTTGGAAGCGTATTTATCCGAAAATGTCACTAGCGCACTATTTTTAAACGTAATTCTACTTGTGCTACTCTATTCACTTGGTTTTTTGCATGAACAGATTACCTCTACATTCTAAACTTAAGTTTTCTTAATGTCCCCAATTTTTCAACCTTTCGGATATTTCTACTTTTCTATCAAAGCGCTTTTACTTTTCTACATAAAATTACTAGATAAACCACAATATGTCCTCTTCTTATTACGACGGGTGCTTTTATACATTAAGACGCTGGAGAACGCAGTTTGGACTATTTTTGCATGCCAGGGATTTTTGTGTAAAAATCCTCGCATTTCATCAGTTGGCCCACCTACTGTCCACCTACTGTATGAGGAATTGTTTAGCGCAGATTTTGTCCATTTTTAGAATTTAAAAAAAGTAATAAATTCAATAATAACTGTTTTCTTCAAGGAATTGCAAAGGCTTGACAGATGCAAGAACACAGAACAGGTCCGATAGATTCTGTGCAGCAGTGCAAAGTCACGACTCCCAGCAAAGCATAGCAATAATATACGAAAACTTTAAAAAATCGATTATTCATGTTCTCCGCAAGGATGGACATTTCAGACACCTCAATCGGAACCAATAATACTTACCTCACCTGTATGCCTCCCTCCAAGCTCCTAAACATCTTTTTTACCTACCGTCACATCAACGAAGTGTCAAAAGATTGATAATTAATACTGTACCCAGTTACGTCAGGTCGTCAGTTGCCTATTGGCTCAGGGGCAAACGGAGGTCACTGATCTGATCAGGTTCTGTCAGGATCACATTGGCTGCTCGCGCTGAGTGCACTTTGTCGATTTGAGGACTTTTGAAGTTGTGTGTGTGTGTATATTTGGTCTACCGGCGCAGGACCGATGAATGTTGCGGAGTGTTTGTTCCCCACTACTGCCGACAGCAGCAGGGATCAACAGACCTTCACGTTGCCCGAATTTTGGCCTCAGAATGTTTCGACCTGGTTTGCAGCGGTAGACGCACTCTTCACTTCCGAGGGGATCACATCCCAATGGAAACGATTCTCACATCTTGCGTTCGCTTTGCCCCCTGGCATCTCCACGGATTTGTGCGGGAAGGTTCTTACCTCTAATCCATCCGCGCCTTATGATCAGTTGAAGTCTGCGGTGCTGAAAGTAGGCTCCCGTGAGACAACACCACCACAACCCTCTAACAGAAATTCAAGATATGAAGTGTCCTCAGAGGTGTCGAGACCTACTCGGAATTCTAGGGTTGCCGCAAATGACCCCGAGGAGTCGAAAAGAGAACAAAACTTTCTGCGTAGACTTTCTCATCGAATACAGAAGGTGTCTTCGCCGAGGCAAAATGAGGTGATACTCGAAGATACTCCTGGCTACCTGGAAGTGGGGATTGTGGGCGATGCTAGCGATCCGAAGCCAGCGAGAACACTGTCGCCAGAACCAGCACCAACTCTTCGACAGATCCAGTCAGACATTCTCAGACTCCAGGCACAGGTGGCTATCATCTCCAGTGGTCGTTTGAGGAGGGCTCAAAGTCTTCCGCGATCTCGCCAGCGATCGAAAAGTCGCCGGAGAGGACTCAAGAGGCAAACGTGGTGTTGGTATCATCAGTCTTTTGGTGTGAATGCAAAAATGTGCAACCACCCGTGTCAGTTCAATACAGATCAAGCGATAATGGCCAGCAGCTCTTTCTAGGATTCAGCACAAGGAATTCCGTAGAAGAAAAAAACATAAAATATAAACTTTGACACAAAAATCAGACTTTGAACTGGATTGGAGGGGGGCAGGGGATAAAGCAGCATTATCTCTCCTTATTGCTACGCAATTGATAGCCTTCTCGCCTGTTACTCACGGAGTAGGACGCAGGTAGCACGTGGGTGGTACGCGTAGACGGACCGTTTAGACAAGCCATCCACCTGACGTGCTGTGAAGGATGGTAGGTAGCACGTGTGTGGTACGTGCAAACGGATTTTTTCGCCCTGTCAGCCACGGTGGCCTGCACCAATCTCCGGTCGTCTTCAGTTTGCCTTGCCAGTTTGGAAAGGTGGGTGTGAGAAGAGAGTGAGGTAGATGCTACGCAAGTCCGCCCTGAGATGAAGTGTTTCGCACACAACTCAGCACTGCTGGATCCAGTTCTTGGACCAGAAGTGGACATCGTTGCCTACGAGGGTCAAACTGTCTAGTCTGTATCGGAAGGAAAATACGCCGAGGGCGTCTGTCATCTACATTATAGTGGAAGAGGTTCGGTATTTACCGCCCACCCAAGTGGAAAACTATAATGGTAAAACAAGGTACATTCTTATCAGACACGTACACTGAGTGCTATTTTTCACGATTTTGAGGCCGTTCCCTAAATGTTGGTAGATTCTAAGGGACCTTTGTTGTGTATACTATCCCGGACCGTATATTATATCATCTTGTCCGGCATCGCCTCAGAGTCATGTGACCTGGAAGCTATTTCTTTCTTTACAAACCGGTAGGGGAAATATCTTTTTCGGATTCGACTCTACGCACCTGCTAAATAAAGAATGTGAGCCGAAAAATTGCAAGGTGAGGACGATAATCAAGTTGATCATTTTGCGGCACTTAAATAATTGCGCATTTTATGTATTTACCCAACTCGTTCTGCACCAAAAGTCGCTTAGTATGCAGAATGTGAGTCAAAGTAATTGAATAAGGTTGAATTTTTACAAATATACACATATAAATAATCATAGGAGTATTCCGGCAGACACTGGCAACCGTGATATAGCTATTTCGGGCTATTGGCCCTCATCAGCCACGGGCAGTCAATTCTGGTGTAGCAGCTGAAATTGCCGCCGCACCCGAG